GTGAAAGGGTCAATTATCCAAGAATGTGTGTGTGACTCTAACAACAGTGTCAAATACATCAAGGAGAAGACTTTTATAGCCCTTTAAACAGTACTTTTTAAGGCTGGGCAGATGGTTCAGTGGGTAAGAGTGTTACTATGTAAGTTATGAGGATCTGAGTTCAAATCCCTAGCACCCATATAAAACTGGACATGGTAGTACTTGACTATAACCCCGGTCTAACACCACATTGGCCTCTGACCTCATTAAGTGCATGCCTGCACACACACTCAGACACACACACACACACACACACACACACACACACACACACACAAGTATACTTAAGAAAAATAGTGCTCCGGGCAGTTGTGGTGGCACACACCATTAATCCCAGCCCTCGGGAGACAGAGCCAGGTAGATCTCTGTGAGTTCAAGGCCAGTCTGGTCTACAGAGTGAGATCCAGGAGAGCCAGAGCTGTACAGAGAAACCCTGTTTCAAAAAAACAAAACAAACAAAATAGAAAAAGAAAAACAGAGCTTTCATAGTACTTTTTTCATAGTACATCTAAGTACAGTTTATGAAAGTACTTTAATAGTTGTATTGGTTAAAAGTGGGTAGATAGAGCTGTTAGAGACTCAGTACCAATAGGACACTGGCAATGATCCAGATCTAACTGATGTCTGTGGACTCCTCCAGCCAACACAGCATGGCACATTTTCCTTTTTTAGGTCACATGGATCATTCACCAAGAGAGACCACACTCAAAGTTATAAAAAATATTTTAAAAATTAAAAAAGGAAACCCTACAATATAGTCTCAGCCTATGGGAAAACCAAGAGGAAGACAGATTAAAAAAAAAAAAAACAACCAAAAAAACCTCTAAAGAGAGACATCAAGGGAAGTTTTTAAAATATTTTGCACCAAATGAAATAAAACTCACTTAAAAAAAAACACCCTGTGGAATGCAGTAACAATAATTATAGAGAAGGCTGGAGAGATGGCCCAGTTGTCAAGATCACTTGATGCTCTTGCAGAAGACCTGGGTTTGTTTTCCAGCATCCATATTTGGGTTACTCACAGCTATCTGTAATTCCTGTTCTAGGGGAGTCTCTATGGGTACCGGACAAGCATGTGGATAGACAAAGGCAAACACTTATACATAAAATAGATAAATCTTTTTTTAAAAAAATAGAAATTTACAAACTTTGATGCATTCATTAGAAAATAACAAAGACCCCAAATCAGTAACTAGGTTCTACCTATCGCCTTACAGACAGGAAGTACAGTAAACCTAAATACGGAAGAAAAAGGAAGCAGCGGGAATTACAGTAGAAATCGACGGAGTTTCCGCTTTGTGAATAAAGACAATCTCAACTGACGGAAGTCTTAAAGGACAATCCTAAAACAAGAGATTATCATTGCAGGGCAATAATAAGGATGAGAAATGGCATCTACAGAGAGCTCCATAGCATTTGGCTCATTAAGTATTGCTCAAAATTATTTGTCATTTGTCAAACTCAAATTTGAGCACAAGGGAACTGCACACTCTCTCTGGTTGGGTCCCAGCGGGACACGCTGGCCCGAATCCCTGGGGACCAATGGAGGAAAACTCCTCAGGGCAGGGTTATCCTTGGAGATGCTAAGAAATGACACTGTGGTCCCCTGGTCTGGACTCTAGACTCAGGTCTGACAAGACCAAGGCGTCACTGCCCATGCCTGTCCACAACACGGCTGTCAGTCTCAAGCCCATGTTCTCGAGAGATGCTCATTATGATCAACTCACTTCCCACTCTGATATTTTTTACCTGGTGCCCGCTGTGTGGCAGGTTTTTGTTTTTGTTTTTCTAGATGCTTTGGATGCAAGGTTGAAGGTGTGTGATTTCCATTTGGCTCTAGACCACCTCGGAAGATAAAAGAACACAACCTGGTCCCCAGTGCTGAGGTACTTGCTAAAGGCACGGCCAACTTCCAGGGTTGGGATGCAGACAGAGGTAACCAGCCTTGAATCATAAAGAAGACATTTCAGAATTTCCCAGAAAAGAGCTCACTCCGCAGCGGTTATCAAGTTTCCCCTTGGCCCTCTCCCCTGAGCGACAATGTAACTGAACTAGTAACACTCAGCTTATTCCGTTGTTGGGAAAAATCCAAAAACACCCCAAGGGAAGCGAGGTCAGAGTACTGTGCACAGAGAGTCACAGTTAGCAGAATCCTCCCTGGACTGGATCCCCTTGCATCTTGGAGACACTGGGTTGGCCCCCTCCAAGGACTCCTAGGTCCAAGGCAGAGGCCCGTCTGTGGAAAGCCCCTGTCCAGGCTTCAGATTTCTGTGGATTGAAATGGAGGCTTCAACGTCTGGATGGGCAAAGGATGGAAGCAAGAGAAGGGAGAAAGGAGATCATCTAAGTGTTGTTGAAAAGAGAGAAGGCTGGAGCTGGTGAGCGTTCTCAGGGCCCGATCTGTGAGCACAGAGAATGAACGCCAAGTGCCACAGGTTCTGCCGGGCACACAGACACTGCAGAGCATTGCACTTCCATCTCAACATGGTTCTCTCACAGTCTTACTCCAACCTATCTGCTCGTGGCTCGGCTCTGGCGGTCTCTAGCTCTGGCGGTCTCTAGCTCCGGCGGTTCGCGTGTGACTTATCTAACCTCAGTTTGTTTTCAGTCATCTGGACAATGGGATCACGGCCCCTGTGCAAAAGCACTTTGGGGGAGAGTTCCTTCCTTGAGCTTCTTCCAAGTTCCCCCATAGCCGATGGGAAGCTGATAATTCACTCTAAAAAATTCTGACCCGTTCTGAGACTCAGTTACAAAAACTGGCATCAACTGATCCACTAGGGCAGTGGTGTGTGAGTGAGGGTGCCTCTCCCGAGGCCTGCACGGAGCCGTGTGGTGTTACCAAGCCCTTCTGAGATACTGGGCACTGAGCCCATCGCTGAGTGTTTCCAAAGACATCTGTTAAACAAGCAGGACCTTGGGGGACAGTCAATGTGTTTTGCCAAGTTCTTGTAGGTGCGGAGTCACTTTAGCAGGGAACCAGGGGTGTGGAGGCAGAAAGCAAGTGGGGGAAGTATGTGGAGGGTATAGGGAGCCAGAAGGACGTCTGTCCGTCAGGCAGGAAGGCTGGGAAGATGTTACCCGTTTGAAGGTGCCAATTATTTTATGCACACTTATTTACTCTTTTAACAAAATCCTTCATGGTAGAGATTTGTATCCCCACTTTTCAGAGAGCTGAAGAGTCACTTACTCAAGTCCATCCAGGTATCATATGCTACAGGCAGAATAAACAGACAAGAGGAATTCTGGGAACAGGAAGGCTGCGTCAGGAGACACCAGGCCGCCGTCCAGGGAGCAGCATGTAATGGCACATAGGTAAAGTCATGAAAAATGTGGCCACATACAGATGAACAGAAATGGGCTGAGTTTAAGTGTAAGAGCTAGTCAGTAGTTAGTCTGAGCTAATGGCTGAGCGGTTGTAATTAATGTAAGCCTCTGTGTGTTTACTCGGGTCTGAGCGGATATTACTTGGGCTGCAGATTGGGTGGGACACAGGAAAACTTTCAGTTACAATATGCAAGGTTCCAGTCTACTGTGGCCCTTTCTTCTTTATACCAACCAGGCTGCCATTCCTTAGAAGCCCGTATTTCTAGGAGATGGATGGACCCTAGTGACAAAGCAGACATGTTCCTATGTTCTATGCTCTTAATTCTACATATCCCTCCACCCCCCGCCCCTGCAACACCCAAATAGACAAGCAGCATCTGCTAGGCAGCCTTGATTATCCTTGTACCAGTCAGTACAGTAACATCTTGGCCAGGCTGCTGGCTCATCAGACTTCAGCAGACAGCCCTGTGTTTGCCAGCTCAGTACCGCCCACCCCTGGCCCTGTTTCCGCATAGCAGGAACCTAAGAGTTCGTCTCCTGTGCTGTTCCCAGACCTGCTGAGCTTTGATGTGAATGCTACATCCAGGAACATCGTGGGCACTGCTGCCTGGATTGGCTTAGCTCAATGCCTATCATCACCGCCTGCCAATGTGAATGCAAGTGGAGCAGGAGGTTTGTGCACTCGGACAGGGCATCAAGAAGATGCCAATCAATCAGTCTACGGCTCTCAGCCTTAACTTTCTTTGACAAAAAAATATGGGAACTCTTAACTGGGTCTGTCTAGTCCATGCCACTCAGGGCTCCCATGGAAGGAAAAGGTGTGGAGAGTGAACTGAGCGCCGGTCACAAACGAAGGTCAACTCTAAGCGAACAGTTATTGTTTGGGCACCTGCTGGGGTTTGTCACTTAATGTTACGTGTACCCCGAGAGCTGGCGGCAAGAGGCCCAAGGCTTGCTTGCAATCATGCCGAACCATGCCTATGCACCCCTGGGTGGTGCTACTGCGGGGATGTCCTGCTCCTCTCCGATGAAAATCAGGCATCTCTGTGATGAGTCTCCGTCGTTCTCTGGCATAGACATTTCTGTATCTTCAAGTGGAGCCACACCTAGAAGGTTCCTGTGAGTGTGTCAAGCTAGGCTATCCTCTGCATCCCCTCCCCCGCATCCTTGTTTCTCTTAAGTCTGGCTATCCTTCCTAGTTAGCCTTTTTCTGCTGCTGTGTTCAGAGCTGTAACATGTACCCATCATTTCTGTTGATCAGCTACTACACTGTATGTGCTTGCAACACGTTATTGTTGCTGTGTTGTGATACAGATAGGAATGCATGAGATGTAAGGAGTGAGACACAGCTAAGACACTGCTCCCCATGGACCTATGAACACATGGTGGCAGGGGACGTGTGAGCTACTCCTGGCTCTTTCTGAATAAACAAGATCTAAACCAGTTGCTTAACGATCTTGTAGCTTGCTCTAGCTCTCTCACCTCACCCCCATCCGCCAAGACCTTATTCTTCGGACAGTTCTTTCACATACCACTTTTACCATATGCTAAATTAGCGTGTGCATTTGAGCATACATATACAAACAAAGACTTTCTATCCTAGCTCATCAACACATCCGTCCGTTCACAGTGTGTCTTTGAGGACTACAGTTTTGCACGCTTTATTTTCACTATCTAGTCTTTCGTGGTGGCCACATTCTTTGACTTGACATTGTCCGTGTGCTCACGACTCTTCCTGTGTGTTTTCCGCCTGAAACTTGAACAAAACAGTCTTGGTTAGTTCTTGTTTTGAAATCGCAGGGCACGCGTAGTCTACAGAATGCCATTTTTCTTGTCAAAATATAGCGTTTCTTTCTGTTCGTTAAAACCTTTGGAGTACTTCCATTTTTACTAACCTGTTGTTTATTCCTAGACATGTGATTTTGTTTAGGTTATGCTAAACAAGGCATTATACACCGGGCTGTCTTCTAACTGGTCGCCGTCTGTTTGCGATGGCTACTATTTCTACACGTTACTAATGAATCCTTTCATAGTTGAAATCAGTTTTGGCAGTCAGTCCCTCAGGTTTCCCACACACACAAGTTCACCAGTACCAGAATGGTGTTTATCGCACTCTGTATAGTGGTATCCTCTACGTCGTGAGTTGTTTTGCTCATTAGAGCAAATAGCTCTAAGACATTATTAAGTGACAGGGTTGCCACATTCAGTACCTGACTTCAGTGCTTCTCAAGGTTTTGTTCTTAAGCATGGCAAATTAAGGAGATATGTTTATTTTCTCATGAAGCATTTTAAAAGATCAGATTCTTTTATTCTATGAGATGCTTTCTCTCTCTCTCTCTCTCTCTCTTTTTTTTTTTTTTTTTTCTCCTTTGTGTGTGGATCCTGGAGGTTAATGGTGGGGGTCTTCCTCATACTCTCCACATATTTTTAAGCAAGGTCTCTACTGAACCCGAGGCTTACTGATTCTTCTAGGATAGCTGGGCAGAGAGCCCCAGGGATCCAGTTTTTCTCTGTCTCTCCAGTGCAAGAATTACAGGCATGCACTGCCATGCCTGAGCTTTTACATGGGGGGCTGGCGATCTGAACTCAGATCCCCATACTTGTATAGCAAAGACTTTACCAACTGAATTATCTTCCTACCCCCTCATCGGTTTCATGTTTGTGCATATTTTCTCGTGAACATTTTAGTACGGTATTAACATAAATACACAAATCTAAATGCATCGGGGAATGTTAATGTTTTAAATTAAAACATCAATAGATTTGGAATCCGGAAGGCCAGAAAGATGGCTTAGCCAACCAAAGCACTTGCTGTCACCACTCGAAAGGTGGTGGGACCTGGGAGAAGGGAGCCCATACATGAGGCCCACGCAGCAGCCAGCTTAACTCAGAGTCTCGGACAATTTATACTCTGAGGGTTAATAAAGGTCACTTGGGTAAAGTTCTCATGCGTTCAAGCTGTAGACAACCACAAGGACAGGTGCCACATGGCAAAAACATGTTTTTCCATAAAGGCA